ATTTTCCTCAGCTTTAGCTTGAATTTGCATATGAGTAGTTGGTGGTCTGTTCCACAATCAGCTCCCAGTCTAGTTTTCACAGCTGATACTGAGCTTCTCCAGCGGTTCTTTCCACATATGTCATCAGTCTGATTCCTATGCATACCATCAGGTGAAATCCAGGTATATAACCTGCGTTTATGTCTCTTAAAAAATGTATTTGCTATGTATAAGTCATTGATTGTGCAAAATAGTAATTGTGTTTAAAATAAATAGGACATTACTTATAGTCATTATTTAGTAGTTACATTAGCAACTAATAAAATAATAAGCATCATCTGAATCTTAGAGAAAAATTATTAAAGTCTAGTTTTGATATTTTTTTCCTCTAAGCCAAGAGACTGCAAGTGCAAGTACTACAGAGGCTCTTTTAAATACAACAGGTGTTAAAATATTTTCTTTTTTTGGCATCGTTTTCTTCTTTAGGTCTCCCATTTTTCTAAGTATGGCCTTCAAGATTCTGATGAAGAGGAGGAGGAACGGCCAGCTAAAACTAGTACAAAGAAGTTAAAGACTGCCCCTGTGCCCCCTGCAGGACACACTGCCCCATTCCAGATGGCTCTTAATGGCAAACCAGCATCTCCACCCCAGGTAGAGAAGGGACAGTGAATGTGATGGAATCCATAATACAGACGTTGAAAGCAAGTCATTCAGCTAATGCAGAGCTGTTTTAGGACCCCTGGAACTTTCAAGAGTACAAATGCATTGGCAGTCACATTGAGACAAGTACGAGGGAGGGTGTGAGGTGTTACTGGCATGTTTTTTTCCTTGAGAGATTAATTAAAGAATTATTTTGCTGTTCGGATCATTCTGTCTGCATATTCTTAAATACCTTCCCCTCTAATTTGGACTTGCTGAATTCTCTACTCAAGAGAGCATTTTGCTTATGGGGGTGATATGAAATAATCTTTATTTTATTGACTGCCTCTATCTAGTGTGCAGTTTGGTATTGTTTTTTACCTC